GTTTTCAATATGAAACATTCATACAGTAAAATCCAATCCCAAGACTTCTTGGATTCAGTCTTCACACACTTTTAAGCGTGACTTTATTTGGTAATGAATATAGTTCAGACTATATAAGAAATCACTTCAAAATTATGTGGATACCACCACTATTTTCAACTGCAGAAAAAGGAAAGAGAAATTACAAATTACAGCTTTTTTTTTTAGCCAGACTTAGGAAAATTGGGACTATTAAATTGAAACTCCCAGAAATTGACAACCTCCTCCACAGTTCATCTGTAATCTTTAAGTAATTTTACAGAAAAAAAGCTGATTAACTTGCTCCGGCTCTTCTTCCCTACGGCAGCTTCATGTACACATTTCCTTTTAGACATTTGCTTTTTGTTGTCTGGCCGATACTCCCAACTGCACCCTGCACCTATATTATGTACCAGTGAGGGGTTGGAGGAGGGGGTATCAAGACACACAGCAAAGTGCTGTCCGCAAGGGGGCAAGAGCTGGAGGCAGGACAGTCAGCTCTATACAAAACAACAAATCGTAAACGAAGGGCTTATAGCCACCTTTTCTAGAAATAATTTTTGAACTCCACAGAGGTAGATCTGAAACATTTAAAAAACACATCACTACTTTTGCCTGATGCCTTCATGTTCTCAGGAAACGTGGAGAGACAGTACAGGCATCCATCAAGGAACAAATGAATTTTTTCATGAGCACAAATTCTGAAGAACAGTGCACTGAGATTGGAGGGGATAACCTGTGATGCCCGACATTGGGAATGGCTACCACTTTCACAGAACACAAACACACAATTAACTCAAAGTGCATTTCCTTCTTTAGATAATGTGAGTTTGTAGAGTAAAAACTGTATTGCTCTGAGAACAAAAAATTGAGAAGGGTATCAAGCTGAGGATGTTTGTGAAAGTAAAGGATAAAGTGAACCAGTTTACAGTTAAACTCAACATTGCAAGTAACTTGATGGCACATCAAACATGCCAGGCAAAAAGTGAAATCGTAATTTTGCACTGTTTTGGGCGAATCCCTTCCAAGAAGGACTTTCAAGAAAGGGTGACACATATATGTTGTTCTCTGAGGTGCAGCTTCTGTGCTAAGACTAGATTTGAACCTGTCAGACTTTTAAAAATACCTTCTTACGGAATACTACAAAGACACTTTTTAAAATGGCAATAAGTACATACTTATCAATAATTACTTTAAATGTAAATAGATACATACACCAATAAAATGACATAGGATGGGTGAATGGATTAAACATCATAACCCATCTGTCTATATGCTACTTCCAAGAGACCATCTTTCAACTGAAAGACAGACTGAAAGTGAAGGGATGGAAAAATATTCCACACAAACAGAAATGAAAAGAAAGCTGGAGTAAGCAATACTTTACACCTGACAAAATAGACTTTAAAACAAAAAATGAAGGCCCTGGCTTGGTAGCTCAGTTGGTTAGAGCACAGTACCAATAGGCCAAGGTTGTGGGTTTGAGTCCCTGGTCAGGGCACATACAAGAAGCAACCGATGAATGTATAAGTATATGGAACATAATTTTACATGAGTCAACTCAAGAAGAGGGTAAAACAATAGTAAACACCTAATACCCAACGTAGGAAGGTGCACGTAAATGTATAAGGCAATTATTAACGGGAATAAAGGGAGACCTCCACGGTCTTACAATAATAGTAGGGATTTTAATATCCCACTCACATCAATGGATAGAGCATCCAGTCAGAAAATTAAGAAAATAATGGTCTTGGATGTCACATTAGATAAGATCGGCTTAATAGACATTTATAGAACATTTCACCCAAAAACTGCAGAGTACAGATTTTTTCCAAGTGTACATTGAACATTCTCCAGTATAGATCATGTTAGGGCATAAAACAAGCCTCAATAAATTCAAGACGACTGAAGTCATACCAAATATCTGTTCCAACCACAATGGCATATAACTAGAAATCAACTATAGGAAGAAAACTGAAGAAAAAACCCCCACAAACGTGAAGCCTAAAGAACATTCTAGTATACAACCAATGGATCAAAGAGAAAAATCAAACGGATAAAAATCTATCTTCAACCCCCCACACCCCCGCAATGAAAACCCAACTTTTTTTTCAATTTATGGGATGCAGCAAAAGCAGACTAAGTTCCTAGTTATACAGGTCTACCTCAAGAAAAATCCCAAATAATCTAACTTTACATTTAAAGGAACTAGAAGAACAAACAAAATCCAAAGTAAAAACGCTTTCCCTTTTCTTAACCTTTTTTAATGGGACTCACTTGCGCCAGGTCTCAGCTCTCTTTCAACTTCACTCCTTAAAGGACCTCAATGATTCCTACAGCTTTGAATCACCACTGACATGCTGAAGGCTTCCAAACTTACATCTCAAGCCCAGGCCTGAGAGAGCTGTAATTAAATGCCAACTTGCCATTGCTACATATCTACAATGGAACTCTGGACTGTTATTCCCCAACCAAACCTACCTCTACTGGGACCACTCTCTGCCCGGTCCCTCTTCCAAGAGTCACAACCACTCAACTGGAGTCCAGCAGAACCCTGTCTACAAATGTGTAAGATACCAACATCTCTCACCTGGATGACATCTCCTGCCTCGTCTTTCTATCTTCCCATCTGTCTCCACAGAGTTGCAAGAGTGAAAGAAAAATCTATATCACTCCTTTGTTTAAACTTCATTGACTTCCCAGTGCATCCAAATCAAATCTAAACTGCCTCGCCAGGTCTTGCATACCAGACTCTGCCTCTCACTTTGTCTCCATCTTGCTCTGCTCACCCCTCACACACTGCATGGTAGCAACATGGCCTTTTAAACCTCGTAAGAAGCCAAGGTCTTTCCCTCGCACGCTGCTTTGGGATACTCCTCATATGGTCAGTCCCTTCTCCAATTATCAGCATTAATGATACCACCTCAGAGAGGCCTTGCCCAACAGCTTCATATCCCCCTACCCAGATTCCCCTCATCCATAAATACCCCACACTTTCCCATTCCTCCGTGGCACTTAAAATATTTGTAATTATGTGCATCTGTTGGCCAATTCTGATTTGCTTTCCCCACTATAGTAAGTTCAAGACTTGTCTAGCACCACAAGCATGGTGTCTGACAAAGCTGCTCAGTAAAAGGCTGGCTGAATGAACTGAGAATCCTCCCCCTCCCGTCATCAGGATTGACTTCTCTTCCTTATTGGCTAGTTAATTTCTATTACAACCCTTAGAAATATTCTCAATTCATTTCTCAAACTCTTCTTAAAATTAGTAAAGCCAGCACTTCAAAAATACACACACAAGATGAGTGATGACAAGCACACACTATTTTTCATGCCTCCAGCATTTCAAGACACATGCACACATTCAAAGTACCTTTTACTGTGGAGAATAAAAAACAACTCTCATCTTGAAAGTTCTGAACCATCTAGAAGGAGAAAGCAGATGTAGTTAAGATCCAACTGTCCCTTTGTAACTGGTTAAAATTCGCAGTTAGAGGAAAACAGTATAATCTATATATTGCTGACAAGCACAGGACTCCACGGCCAGAATGGTAGCTGGTGAATGCAAGTGAGTGGTAACATTTATACCCACTGCCCTGGCAGCAGTGCCTGCTCATGATGGTCCCCGAGGACCTAGTCAGTCGGCCATCTGACTCCTTGGGGAGCATCCCTGCTGGGTCTGGGAATAACGGACAAAAAGTCACTGCGTGAGTGCTCTTCTATTACTTGCTTGTCACTGAACACTGGAGGAAAAAACTATACTTCTAACTTACTGCTTTGTAAATTAGTCATCAAATAGTGGACAAAAGGAAAATCCATCCAAATGCCCCTCTCCATAAAAGGGGAGAAAGCCCCACTAACCTGCAGCCCCCCCGAGGGAGTGTCTAAATTACGAGGGGAGGGAGGAGAGCCAGTTAATCCTTGATGTGTATTCCTTAGATCTCCAGCATACCTGAAACTCTTGGTTATATATTCTTACAAATTTTGATCCCAACTCTTTGAAAAGGATTTTCATGAGTGCTTGTAACAGAGGTCACAGAATTTTTCTATAGTTCTTCAGCGATATAACAGTGTGAATGGGAAAAGCAAATGGGCATGTCAATTCAAGTTACCTGATCACTAACAAGAATGTGAATACCAGTGGGACCCTGTCTGTAAACCTGGTTAATCTGGTGGAAAGGAATATTAAACACCAACGCAAGTTTTCGAGCAACTTCTGAGGCAACCATTTCTTCCAAGTAGATTGCATGATAAACTGAAATTAAAAAGAACACATAACAGCATTTTAGCAGTAATCTTTTATCTGTTTTCCACCTGGATCTATAAGATTACATATAAACATTAAAATAATTTTTGTACAAAAGGATCTACGGTTTTTTCTTAAAACAAGCAGGAGTTGACTGCAAATGGGCCCGGGGATCTTTCTGGAGTAATGAAACTGAACAGATTGTGGTGATGGCTGCAAAACTGCACATTTACTAAAATATCACTGAATCATATCATTGCAATGGGAGGCTTTTGTGATGTATAAGTTATACCTGAAGGAAGCTCTTTTCAAAAAATGTGTTTCTAGCAATATAGTTTAAAAACAAACAAAAACCTAAGAAGGTCCTAGTTTTTGATTCAGTAAGCCTATGAATGGGAGTTTATCCATTCATCCTAAGGAATAAAAGTGCCCCTCCTTCCCCCCAGAAACATAGTATAAAA